TAGCAAAAAGATTATGAAAATAAACACTGTATTTAGTGCTACTCTCGTATCTAGTGCGCGATTTTAGTGGTCATTTCATTGCAATTTCTTTGTAAGAATTAACCAAACTTGAAACATTAATTCTTACAAAGTATCCCAAAACGTTTCAGCAAATAAATTAAGATTTTTCACCGATGAACTGTTTCAAGCTATGATGTCTAAAATATTTTTATTTAATACTCTACGTTTTTGAATTAATCATTACTGGATTTCCATAACTTAATTGTAGCAATTAACAAGACGATGAGACAGTGACCTCAAAAACGCTTGGTCGTGTTCTTCTCAATATTGTCATTTGAATTAATGATTCTTAATTATCTTAATTAACATGAACATTATAACCTCAATTCACTTAGAATTCTTAGGTTAAGACAGAGAAGATGAAGATGATTTTGATGCTTTCCCTACAAAGATACTATAGTACTGTAGTTATCTATAAGGTGGTGGTTTTATAACCAAATCTCTAATAATCAAATATTAGTTAAATATGCCTACATACAATTATAAAGTTTGACCATCACAAACTTATTTACTTTCTGGCATTTCTTGTAACATCATCGAAAAGAAACTTTACAAACATTATATTCCACGATCCGGAATTCAATACATGATCGCACATGACCAGCATACACAATTCGAATTCCAACTTTTCAAACAATTCAATAATGTTTTGGGTATACAATAAATTCCCAGTCCTACAAAGCATCCTAAAAATATTCTAACGAGAGATAAAATTGTTCAATACACTTTTTTTTTTCTATTCAGCAAAAATAGTTTGAAAAAAACGTTGAAACCGTCTTATTAAACTTCAAGAATTTTTGATATGAATAAGTTGGATTAAAATTACATTTATTAGTATAAATCTTCATATTAACTTTCTGCTCTAGTTACCTTTAGTGAAGTACGTCAAAACACGTAGTCGACATCGTTAGTTTATATAACTCGAGTAGAAGCAGTCTCTTATTCTTACCGTCATGTAAATGTACTTAGGTAAACTTTGAATAAATTAGAACTAAAACTACCTCATCCATTTCTGTAAGTTTCCTAAGAATAAAACATTTTTTTGCTCTTCAATTTATAGTTTCACCACACCAAAATCATCTATTTTACGTTACAAATCCTGATTGAGACTACCTTAACAAAGAGAGTTTTGATTCACAAAGAACGTCATTGTAAAACACTAATTCCATCTACATAATGAACCGTCCAGAACGACCAGCGAGAAACTCCAAAAACACAGTCCATCAATTTGCAAGGCAGTCGCCGCCAATTAACAAGTTTCGAAGACAAAGTCAATTTGAAAATGGATTTTAATTGAAGTTCGCAATCAACGGGAACTTCTTCTTCAACGCCCCTTCTCACGAGCGTTGTCGGCGGCGTCGTGGCGGTGACAGTGACGGAATAGGTGAGAACTAAGGGAAACCGGAAATTGAATAAGCCATTTAGAAGCGGTGCCGTAACGAGCTCGGGGAGAGGAGAAAGGACGACGACGATGTCGGGCGTCGAAAACAACTTTATAATAACCTGGTGCAACGGCGTCTCCCCATCTCTTCGACGTCGACACGTGCTGGAACAAATGGACCGGGCAACAGAGAGTAAAACCGACCAGAAATTACAAAAGCCGATAAATTTTTATTAGGGATAACGTTGAGTTTGGGGGGATAAATGAGGACGACTCGCATACCCTTCAATGATTTATACACGACCGTAACTTTTGTTTGAATTAGCCAATTTGTATATGAAAACGTTCAAGTGATTGATGGCTGATGATTTTTAAAAGAATGGTATGAATAAATTAAATATGGAAATGAATTTTGAAAAAAATAACGATTTTTTGTCACTTAATGAATGTTCTGCTTCCTTAACGTTCGCTATAGATGTAAAACACCCTCTAGAATGCAACGAACGTCATGTACTAAGGCGGAAAGCTTTATGGACGAGCTTAAATTTTATATATCGCCCGGCTTTAAAACTTTTATTATGATCAAAACGTGACTGAAATGTAAGTCTCTACTAAAAACGTTAAGAACCCCCTGTAACTGGATTCGGTACTATAATATTTACAATTTATGTTTCTAAAAATTTTTTTCGAAATTTCTCCATCAACAGTTATTTTGTTCACGCTCGTTTCTCGTCTATTTCGTAACAGATTTAAAACATAAAGGGTCGTTTAGTTGTTTACTTCGAAGCCGCCCTTTGCGTGTGGTAAACACGAGAAGATCCCCTTATTCCCTTGTACCACTCCATTACCGGTAAACGTAGCCTTTGTTCCGATGCTTTCAACGACTCATTCCGGCCGCTGATTACAACCCTTTATGTGCCAACACTTTAGACCCAGATAATCAGGGTTATACGCGGCCGGATTCTTCGTAGTAGTAGCCCTTTTCCGGCACACCACGTTAAAGTATGATAAATGATCAATCCCCAGACACAAAAATTCAAGTAATTCTGAGTGTAAAGTAAAAATCCTCGCAGCGTATGCAAATCTACCTCGCAAGTATTAGGAAAACGACTAATTTTAAGGGTTAGCGCCCAAAAATTTATCGCTAGTGGAATTTTATGTAAAGCTATTGTAAAGCTAAGAGGGTGTAATAGATCTCTAGTGGATTACTAATGAACTGTTTTTATAATGTGCCCTTTAAACGAGTTAATCCCATAGTTATATTGTGTTTTAGATTTAAAGGGGATATTTTAATACGTTTTTATAACAAATAATTTAATTTATTGTTTACTAATTTAAATCGAAACGTCTGCGGTTTTGTGGTTTTGAGTAATTATAACCTGATTCAACAACGGAAGATTTAAAAATAATCGGGAAGCCACAAAATTGTGTAAATAAATTATAATTGCTCGTAGTCATTCCAATAAATTAATTTATTACCGTAATACTTTAAATAATAATATATTATACTGTATTAACATCATAATGTGTACATTAAATCTTCATTGCAAGTAATTTATTTCATTTTTAACAAAGAAATGCAACACAATAGAAACTGTCATATACAAAACTGTTATTTTTAGTTCGTGTTCTCTTTATACTTTACCCTCCGAGTAAAAGAACATATTGGAAATATTGACTGGTACACAACCCTCTTATTTCAGCCAGAACGCCCCCGAATCAAAACACCGTCATAAGCAGACGGACAAAGATCCCGATCCCGGAGTTCGAGTATTGTGTTCGTGGCATATTCATTTCATACTTGTAATTTGTTCGTGTTTGTAACAAGAACTCTGATATGTCCAGGGTCTGCCGCCTCCCCGTGACAGGCGCAAGATCGATGATACCGTCATGCAGTGTGATCAGTAATTGCACTCGGTGACTAGTCAGCCGCCCGTTTCATACTTGAGTCATATGTCATGTTCGGCCCCTATAATTTGTAGCCTGCAGGATGTGGAATGGAAAAAATGCTTAGACGAGATTTTAATTGATTTGATTCAGACGATTTATGAAGGAAACAGAAATATTTGAGAAGTTATGGAGGGTTTTCAGAGAAGTACCGTTAAGAAGTTGAGAAAATATGAAGATTAATGTAGAGTTTAAAGCTAGTTGAGTGAGAACATATTAAAAATCGTTTAGTTTAGAAAAATTTTCCTACAGTCCAGTCGAGATTTTGCCTTAATCAGTGCAGTTGCCGTGGAAACGCACCCTTTGGCATCTCACCTAGCCGCTTCCGCTTCCGGTAAGCACTTCATAACCTCATTCATTATGCATCATTTAATGTTGAAGCGGTCTCTTACGGAATCTCCCTCTAATTGTGTGCATCAGGGATTTCTGCTTTCTCCGAACCCCATTTTCATCCCTTCACCTTTATCTCTAAGATTTATTACCAACTTCTTCACCCCTCTAGTCTACCATTTTTTTTTTTTCATTTTCGCCCTTTCAACAATTTATAAATCAGACATCCATCAATAAAATCGTAACCAATAATAAGTAAGGTTGTGCTCCTAGAGTAACTTAAGACCCGGTTAGGACACGTTGAGGACACACGTGCATTGAAGCGGGAAAACAACCGGTCAATACTCGAGTCGGTAGTTCGAAGGGACGCCGCGAGCGCCGCCACCGGATGGACGATAGTTCCGGTGGCATCCAGCTGCAGTTTTCCCGGACCGATGTTGGAAATTACAATTGATTTAATGCCAAATTGACCGAGCTTAATACAACTTTATTGCAAGATCGGTCCGATGGCCTAGCCCGCTCATTTTAAATGATCTAAAACGGCCGGTTTCAGCGGATTTCGAGGCTTTCGAACATCACCAAAACCGCATGACTGAGCACAATATTTTCTCTACGAAGTTTATGTGTGTCAATTCTATTGTTCCAAAAGATTATTTCCTATATTTGTAGTCTTATCCGGATAAATATGTTAAACAATTATATAAAAATATTATTTTATGTTTGTTCAACCTTGAATATTACCAAAATCCATTTAGAGGAAAAAAGCTTTGAAACTCGGAAGAACGGAAAGTAGGAAGTATAGATAAGTGGCTCATGCATCCTTCGTGGCACTCCATATCCGAAGTGATGTGGAACATCAATACTGGACGACCTCGAAGCCGATAAACACCTCTTCAGCACAATCGATGAGTTACGGTGTATGTTTAGAGGATTGGATAGTTATAGTAAAGAACGAAAAGATTGATGAAAAATGATGGTTGCACGAAAAATTCCGTGTTTTTTACCGAAGATTGATACTTTTCAATAACGTCAATTTGTTTGAGTTACAAATGAAAATAAAAAGAACGACAAAATTACAACGTTCCATCCACTCCCACCTATTTTCCTCCAATCAAATCGATATTTAATTAACTTTCAACGATAAACACTGCATTGACGACCCTTCGTTTTACAACCCTCCGAAAAGGGTTACATTAACATTCATATTAAATACACCCCTGTAAATATCGAACCCTTTTACCGGCTTATTAAACTAACGACATCAGTAATTATTAAAACTCACCGCCCTGCGTTGTTAGGAATTGAGATTCTTGCGACGCTTGATTTGTATCTGTCACTGGAATACTGTATTCTGTTCTTCTTCGTAAAGTGGCAGAGTGTAAAGAAGGCCCCCTTGGGGGTACTTCAGGTGGCGCGGGTTCGGGCGGCGATTCTTCGTTGACATCTGAAATGAAAATTCAAAAGTTTTAATTGGAACGGTAATATCGTTATCAGTGTTTATAACTGGGCGAGTAGCTTTAGTAAATTTACTCTTTGTTGGAGGGAATTAAAGGGGTAAAACTGAATGAGGGGGATGTGCAGGGTCAGAGAAAGGTGCAGTACCAGGACGTGTGGACACACAGGATTCGGATTTAATTATAAAGTTAGGCACGGCGCGAACTTCTATCACTAATGGACGGGCGGTAATAGGATATATTAGGGATTGTAATTTTTTTGGGAGAGTTAGTACCCGACCTTTTGAGAGCGGCATAAATTGGATTTTGACATAATTCACTTTGTGCACTAAAATATAAGCTGGGATAATGCACTTTTCGAAAAATCTTTAAAATAAAACAAAAATTAAACACGAATTCAAAAGCGGTATCATGGTTTTAAAAGACAATATTAGATGTTCTTATTATCTCTGCGGGTTGCGTACACGTAGAAGATAATGAGTTAATACGATAAGGTTCCCAGACTATGCTGGGTACGTCTGGATTCAGCTCGAAACGGTGTTAAGCCAATTACGAAAAGCCGGTGATCACTTCGAGTTCCTGCGAGAGCGTTAATCGGGTTAAGCTATATAGTTTGACATTTGCGGAACGAACCCCCCAAAGTAACTCCAACTCAAGTAACTTTTATTCTTTTTTAAATCCAAATTCAATTTCTTACCATTATCAAGACAAATCCTTTGTTGATCACCATGAAAGTTAAGGTCATTGCGACCATTTCCTCCACCATCAGCGCAACTATTACAAGAAGTTGCACTGCTTGACGATGTCATTCCACCTGGACCTCTCCCATGTCTTCGACCACTTCGGTTAATAGTGTTATTTGATGGAATCTTTTTAGAGCTTGCATAAACAACTTCACCTAAATAATAATTAAATAAACACAACAATCTTATAATTATAAAATATACTTTCTACCATTATTTCCTCGAATCCTATCTTGAGGCGTCGCATAAATAATCCTTCTTGTATTTGTATTCTCCAATGGAAACGGAGATGCTTGTCTATGCATCGGTAATGGTGATCTCGGTGAAACCATCGTTGGTGGAGGTGTTGGAAATGGTGTTGTTGGATTATCGGTTGTTACAGCATCTTCAGTATCATCTGATCTATACGATCTTTCAATACCTGAAAAAAAAGGAAATACAATGGTAAAAATAAATATGTTTGAACAAGAAAATGGACTGGTTAGATAAAGTCGATAGCAATCAACATGATTTATATACGAGAATTCATTCGAGAGACGGGGTTGATTCCGAGTCCAGATTGATTGCCAACTAAACTTTTCTCTTTCTCTTTAGATACCCGAGAAAAGTCTCGTCTCATGATGACCTGGAAAGAAAGAAAATACACCCGCGCATTAAGGACGTACACGTTAGTTCCGATCGCTGCCCAAAGGAATCGAAAAAAAAATAACAGGAGTAAAAACATCGAGGGAAAAAATAAGAAATGGGATGAAGAGTTGAGAGAGGAAAAAAGGAAACGAAAAAAAGAGGTAAAGAATGGGGGGAAATGCTACCTGGACGTTCTATGAGGGTCTGAATTAAGGTAACGGAGTAGGGCCCGGAGTAGTAGGCTCTCTCTCTGGGGTGAACAACTCAAGATTGAATATGAAAATTTAATCAGGTAATTTCATAGGGGGATGGAGAACCCCTACCACGTACCAACGTCGAGCTTTATGGAGTCTGGGCGATCTCTACGCAGGTATTAGCTATGGAAAAGTTTTACTTAATTCAATAAAAAAAAAGAACATGATGATAAAAAATGTAATATAAAATAAATGAAAAGAAAAGGAAATCTTAGCATAAAACCATTTCATCAAAAATTAATCCAATATATCCCAAATAAACTCCAATAAACTGAAGCTTACCATTTATTACCATTGATTATTATTGATAGTAAACTCACCCCAGATTCTAAGTTAACTTTACGGTTAAACCAATCCCCCTAGAATATTACGGTATAGTGTAACCAAGCATGCCCGCATATTTATAGCGATTAGATCCGGGTACGTTTATGTCTTGTGGGGTGGTGGTGGTTGTGTGCACCAACAGCATTTAATTGTATCGTGCGGTAACCAATAATCGTAAAGACTTTATGGTCTTGCGTGTGCACAGACGACCTGTACATTGCGCGCTATTTAACGATTGTAGACATAAAACCCTTACGTATACGCACGTAAATACATAAATGTACCCAATGCACACTGGTTTTATGACCAAGTCATTGTAGATTGTTGTATGTGCATTAAAACATAATCAATAATTGTACAACTTTTTTACGACGTTGTTAGATTTTATTCGAAACGTTTTGTTAGTTATAATTATTATTAATAATCCTTTGTTTCCGAGTGTATTTTCAGTAAATAACTTATTTTCAAAACTCCTATTGTTTTGTAATGGACTAATGATGATGTATATATTAAAATCGGAGCGGGTGAATGTATTTAAATTAACGCAATATTTTGAATTTAATTGATTACTGAAGTTATTAATTTGTTTTAATTATCGTTTATGTGAAATTTCATTATTTATGAATTTTTTATTAAAAATCTATTGTAAGGATGGTCCGATGATTTTAAGAAGTTATTTTTTTATAAAATGTAAATAAGCAAATAATAAGCAAATAATCTATTTGGTTCTGTAGAGTTGATTACTTGAGATAATTGGGTGCTGTTAAAAAAGACGAAAATGCACGAAAATTTTTAGATAGCAATAATTTTTAACAAGGAAGATACTTTTTATTGACATCGATCAAGATGATAAAGCGGTGAACACGAGCTTCCCGTTCAACAATAAGAATAAAATAAGAATTTGGAATGATTTTATATGGGCTCTATATGGGTGTACTGATTTAAAAGAAATAAAAAGCTTTATTTCAATAATCTAGCCAATGAGTACAAGAAGGTTAACCAAATTATAGAAACTATTGATTCTCAAGGTCGAAATTTTTCATGAATTTTAGCAAACTTAACTAACACTTAAACTATAACGTATTACAGCCAAATCAAACAAAAATTACATGGTGATTCTACCAGCGTTCTATCGTAAATTCCAATATTATTCCCGTAGATTCTAAGCTTCTAAGAAAATCAATTTTCAAAGATGAACAACAAAACTTGTTGCAACAACGTACGAAATAGGAAAACTCTGTAGAGAACACTTCAAAAAATACAAAAACTCAAACCACAAGAACAATGGTCACATAACAAAGTGATTAAGAAAGTCCAAACCAAAGAAACTTAATGAGTTACTTGGATAGCCCCAATGAATTTAAAATTGAGGTCTAAGAAGTAAAACGGTACAAGTATATTTTTGGCTTAAAACTACTTTTGTGGGGATTTGGGGTGAGAATCTGTGGCTCAAATGGTTTCGTGCTATCTTTAAGATATGACTGCTATGCAACAAGAATTTGGTTGTGTTGGGTTGGTTGAACATCCTCCAGTGAACGAAATTAATTGAACCATGCTAATGTTGGCTCCGAGCTAATTGGAAAAAGAAAGAAGATTAAACTTCCGATATTTATACCAAAAATTACTCTCAGCTGAAAGAAAGAGGATCATGAAAGTTCACCTTGAACTGATTCAGTCTAAATTACAGTGAAAGCTCTCCTTACGGACAGCTCTAATAAGCGGATATCTCTTATAAGCGGAAAAAAATCTTGGAACCAACCCCAAACCTATATTTTCATGTACATATTTATTTCCCATAAACGGACGCTCTAATAAACGGACGCGGACACTATTTTTCTTTACAGAACGGGCAAAAATTTCTAATAAACGGACGCGTAGGTAACTAAACGCACACATCAAAATAATCTGTAATAGATATTTACCGACATGTGTTCGGGGATTCCTCGTTTTACGAGTTCCGCTTGTTAACGAATCCCAAAACATTAGTACATAGTTATTATTAGTTTGTTCGTTTCGGTGTAACGTGCGTTGAAATGGCTTCCAAGGTGGTAAAGAAAAAGATGCTTATGTTAAAGGAGAAAATGGAAATAGATTGTTTATTAGATAAAGAAAAGTTGTCAGTTCGTGATATTGCTAAAAAATTTAAAATCGGGAAAACACAAGCGGCAAAAATAATCAAAGATAAAGAAAAGATTCGAAAGAAATGGCAGTCTGGAGTCAGTGTAAAAACGAAGAAAAACTTTTTGAGTAGTGAGGGTTCAAAGATCGAAAAAGCCTGTTTCGAATGGTTTGTGAAAGCTAAAAATCAAAATATTGCCGTATCAGGATCATTCGTAAAGAAAAAAGCAAAAGAAATTGCAGAAAGATTAGGAGTGCGTACCTTTAAAGCGTCTGATGGGTGGTTACAAAAGTGGCGTTTGAGAAATAATGTTGCATTTAAGTGTATCTCCGGAGAAGCAGCAGATGTAAATGAAAAGGGCATTAATGAATTTATGAAAAAATTACCGACCTTCTTACTAGGCTATCGACCAGAGGACATTTTCAACGCAGATGAAAGTGGGCTCTTTTTTCGTGCATTACCAAATAAAACTTAACAAATTAGCTTTAAAGTCGGAAAAATGCACAGGAGGAAAACATCGGAAAAAATAAATGAGAAAAGAACGTGTGATTTGTACCTAATCACGGATAGTTTAGGACCATTGTAGTGTCTACTTTCACCAGTTTTCTCTTATCCAGAATAGTTTTTTTTATGGCTGTGCGGGATCCCAGCCCATAAGCTACAGTGCAAAACGGAACCAATCAACGTTCAACATTCACAAGACGAAATTTAACTAAAAGATATCAAAGAATAATGGCACTCTTCCTCATGAAAACAAAATTAATTTAAAAAATCTCAAAACAATTTCTGCGTAAAATCGTTACAACATCAAGTGGCAAGGAGAAACCATACGATAGCAAAGAACTGTTGAATTCCGGCAGATATGATGCGTATTTATCGCAGTTGAAAAACATATGATTTAAATCCCCATCTTTAAGCCACACGAACAATTAGAAGACTGTAAAATATTAATTTTATTTAGAGAGGCACGCTAACATCCATGGCCGGACTTTAGCCTGATAACAGCTGAAAAGAAATTTCTAAAAACGTCACGCACTTCACCATTGATGGTAAAGTATACGAGGATTAACTCGAATTTACTGAGTCTACCTGTACTGGAGTGATTACAGTGTCTGCACCAATCCTCCTTTACAAGTTTCTCCCTGCAGATAGATAAGACTCCCAGAATAGCTTAATACCTCCTTTTTACATAAGATGAAGTGATGAATATAGCGAATATGTCTTGGATATATTGACTACAACCAATAGCGAAATGGTTTGGTGGCGTAAAATTCGGTGTTTTCGTAATTAGTTGCATACAAAAGTCTATCCAAGTTTCCATTCTACCTAGAGTGTTACATTAACTCTTTCCGTGCTTAATTCCCATATTGCCCAGGTTCCTATTCAAGTATTCAAATTCTCTATGTTTCCATTTTAGCAAATCTGTTAACCGTTTACAACTTTTTTATAAAATTAGTGGTGGTTCTGATAACTTAAGCGTGATTCTACTCATAAAAAATTTAGTTTTATTCTTAGCCCGATCGACGATTTCTCATTTTCAAGCACTTGCAAAATTTAAAGAGTCTCTATCTTAGTATAGTCGTATCTAGGACTGTACTTAATTTATCACCGCTTTAAACATTAATTGTCATTTCAAGGTTTTCCTACTAAGGAAGACAACTTACATTTTCTATTTAGATTTTTCTTTTTAAGCATCTGTATATCTAATGGTCTGAATTGCCTCGATTCCAGAATGATCGCTTATGTCGACGTTTAGTGTCTTAGTTTCTTTACATATGCCTAATTTATCGCCACACAAATTATCGCAATGCACTGTAAGTTAATTTTTCTCTTTCTCTCTTCACACCAATGTTTGATCAAAAATTGGCTTTTTTATTTGACAGCACAAACTCCACTAAGTTCAGACTCTCAATTACATTCCTCTTTCTGGGAACTAAATATAATGGAGTTCGACCATTGAAAGGATTCTTTTTCATTGTTTTTGAGTTTTTCTCGAAATGAGATAGCGAATCATGGAATGTTCTGAAATAATAGCATCATAGGTCTTCATTCACTGCTACCTTTTCTAAAAGATTCAAACTGATATTGTTATTGCCA